TTTTTATCCATATTTTTCAAAATAAAATTTAAACTGAAAATCCGATAGAAATTGAGTAAGTTGATCAACCCATACGCACAACAAGCGAGACAACTCGCGCAAGCCACGTGAAATACCGCCGTGTCACGCGAGATCGTCGCACGTGTAAACAAGACAATAATGGCGATTACAAAAAAAAAGATTTGGAAAAAAAAAGTTAAAGCCTACCTATACCCTACCTATTTTTTTTCAGCATGAAATCGGAAACACAGGTTTTTTTTTTTGGCCTTAAGCCTTTTGCTTTACAGCACTGAGCATCACGTGAGATATCATCTAGTATATGGTATAGCAGAGCGCATGCAGCACATGTTTAAATAATATCCAGACAACCAAAACTCTTGAGGGACAACCATATGCTACTCTCTTGGTTGTCCTCTGGACAACCCAAAAAAAACCTTAAAATTGAGCACTGAGTATCTATGGTATTTCTTTAGAACGCGCACGCATGAATACGAACAATAGAACACATTATGCATGATGTTTTTATACTGCTCGGGATGTTCTAAATGGATCACTCTGTATTAGGCACTGATGAGTATGGAGCCTTCGCTCCATACGAAACAGTTCTGTATGCAATAAACAGAGTCAAAGTTACTACCGTGTCCGTATAACTTTATCTATATATATAATTTATGCCTAAAATGACGCTTAATGATCTAGGTGGGCGGACGAAAACCTCCATTATTGCGACTATATCTCCAGTATCCTCCAATCTGGAAGAAACATTGTGCACACTGGACTACGCACAATGTGCCAGAAGCATACAGAACCGACCAGAATTAAACCAAAAGATGACTAAGAAAACTCTCATCAAGGTAGTCCAGCTAGCACACGAGTTCCATAGCAAAGAAGAGAAATGTAGTATCAGCATCTATTATTATGGCTGAGAGGGTCTATGTTCCCCAGGGTACTGGTCCGGTATAACGGAACGTACCCTGGTACTAAATACTACTATCTAATATGCCGGACCATACCTCGCCTACTCCATTAACGAGTCTAGGGAGTCGCCTACGCCTACTTCCTAACCCTAACCCTAACCCTAACCCTAACATTAACCCTAACCCTAACCATATCAGCTAGATAGTTAACAGGGTACGTTCCGGTATACCGGACCGTACCCAGGGTACGTTCCGGCAGTACCCTAGGGGACATAGACCCTATGAGCATTATTATGCTTACATGACTGAAATCGTACTACCACGAATGAGCTTGATAAGGCATTGCTGGTATTTTTGGTTTGATCACTAATGTTTGGTAACAGAATCTTCTGCTGTCCTGACCAGCTTTTGTACAGATATTTTCCTAGTTTCTATTATCATAGTTTCTTACACATTATATAGC